TACCGGGTAATGGCCTTTGGACTAAAAAACTCGGGCGCCACTTACCAGAGGATGGTGAATCGGCTTTTCAAGCCACTCCTCGGTAAGTCCATGGAGGCCTATGTGGATGACATGCTGATCAAGAGCCCGGGGGCGGAGAACCACCCGGCCGACATGAGGCTTTGCTTCGAGATTATGGCTAAGTACAACTTGCGTCTCAACCCCAAGAAATGCGTCTTTGCTGTAAAGACCGGTAAGTTTCTAGGGTTCATGGTGACCAAGCGTGGAATTGAGCCTAATCCGGAGAAGATCAAGGCCATAACTGAAATGAGGTCGCCCAGTTCGCTGAAGGACGTACAACGACTTACCGGGCGGTTGGCAGCCTTGAGTCGTTTTCTCTCCCGGTCTGCTGAGAGGGCTCTGCCTTTCTTCAAGGTTCTGAAGAAGGCTAATACATTCGAGTGGGACCGGGAGTGCGAGGAAGCGTTCCAGCAGTTGAAAGAGTACTTAGTCTCTGATATTGTTTTGTCAAAGCCCAAACCGGGTGAGACTTTGTACTTGTATCTGGGAATTTCCCAAAACGCTGTAAGCTTTGTTTTGATAAGAAATGAAGACGGCCAGAGGCCTATTTACTATGTGAGCAAAGCACTAAATGGGGCTGAAAGCCGGTACACTGCCATTGAGAAAACGGCATACGCACTTTTCATAACGGCCAAAAAACTGACCGCGTACTTCCAAGCTCATACTGTGGAAGTACTGACCGATCAGCCACTTGGCCCGGTCCTTCGAAATTCGACCTCCTCGGGAAGGTTGATCAAGTGGGCGATGATGCTCACTCAGTTCAAAATAGAATATAAACCAAGGACTGCAATTAAGGGTCAAGCTTTGGCAGACTTCTTCGTTGAACTGACCGGTCTGGAGCCCGAGGCCGGACCTTCACATACGGTCGAACCGTGGTGGGATATGGCCGTTGACGGGGCCTCTAGACCGAAGGGATGCGGGGCCGGCGTAGTCTTCACTACCCCGGAAGGATTTAAGATCTACCATGCCCTGATCTTCAACTTCAAGCTCACCAACAATGAGGCGGAGTATGAGGCGCTGGCCGGTGGCCTCAGATTAGCCCGGACACTTGGAATAAAAAGGATGAAGATCCGTTCCGATTCAAGTCTAGTGGTCGGACAGGTCAATGGTGAGATGGAAGTAAAAGAGGATCGTCTGGCCTGGTATAGTGACCTGGTCCGAGCGCTTCTAAGGGAATTAGAAGAGTTTCGTCTGACTAGGATACCCCGGTCGGAAAATGCTGATGCAAATATGCTTTCAAAATTGACGCAAGCTTGCCCAGAGCATGTGTCGAAGTTGGCGAAAATTGAGATCCTGGATGTCCCGAGTACAGACCGGTTTGAAGTCGCGGCCATCCAACCGGGCCAGACTTCAGCAACCGGGATAATAGGGGCAGATGATGACTGGAGGTACGAACTCATGGAGTATTTGGAGACGGTCAGAAGCCTGATGACGAGGAACGAGCCAGGAAGGTAGTCCTGCGGGCTCCACGTTTCCAGGTGATCGACGGCCACTTGTACAAACGAGCAATTGGCGGACCACTCTTGTGTTGCCTTACCAACCCGGAGGCTGAGCGGGTAATTGCCGAGGTACATGAGGGAGTTTGTGCAGCACATCAGATGTCCCGCACTTTGGCTCAAAGGATCATCCTGCTAGGCTACTACTGGCAGACCATTGTCGGGGATTGTGAGAGGTATGTCCAGAAATGCAGAACGTGCCAAGTTTTTTACAAACATCCCGGCAGACCGGCCACTTATTACCAACGTACCTCTAATGTCATACCATTTGCGCGGTGGGGGATTGACATTATTGGAGCCTTCCCGGTTGCCCAAGGCGGAAAGAAGTTCGTGATGGTGGCTATTGATTACTTCACCAAATGGATTGAGGCTGAGGCGATGGCCACCATAACCGTACGGCAGTGTGAGAAATTTGTTTGGAAAAACATTATCACCCGGTTTGGTGCCCCTAAATTCATTGTCACTGACAACGGACCCCAGTTTCGCAACCCCCGGTTCACTGCATACCTTGCCAGCTTCGGGGTCAAGCACAGCAAGGCCTCGGTAGCATATCCACAGGGAAATGGCCAAGTCGAAAACGCTAACCGGACAATTGTGGACGGGCTAAAAAAGAGGTTGGGTGAGGAAGGACACAAGTGGTTAGAAGCCTTGCCTCACACGGTCTGGGCACACCGGGTGACTTCAAGAAGGGCAACTGGAGAGACTCCTTTCGTGCTAACTTACGGATGCGAAGCCCGGTTACCAGTGGAAGCAGAAATACCAACGTTTAGAGAAACTGTCTACCAGCCCGGTCTGAATGAGATCGACCACTTGGCTGAACTGAATCTGGTGGAAGAACGACGGACCATAGCTGCTTTTAAGATGGCCGGTTATCAGCAGTCAGTAAAGCGGTATCACGACAACCGGGTTGGGCCGCGATATTTCCAAGTGCACGATGAAGTCTTGCGCAGAAGGGATGCTAGTAAGCCCAACGAGAGGGGCAAGCTGGTGCGAAACTGGGAAGGGCCCTATCGCATAAAAGCAGTTGTCAGACCGGGCACTTACCAGTTGGAGACAATGGAAGGCGGCCGGGTCGAGCGACATTGGNTGTGTACTAACCGGTCATTCGTCGCATACCGATTTACCCGGTTAGATGTCCAATCGAATTGGACAACGCAAAAAAAAAAAAAAGAAAAGAAGAAAAGAGACCGGTCTGACCGATCCTATACCTCATCCGTACTGACGCGGGAGTTAAAAACATTTTGGCTTAACTAGTGGGAGAGCATCCCGGCTGGTAAAGCCAGATGTTTGGACGAAAAATTTAAGGTCAGCCTTAAATGAGCCCGGGCAGATGCTTAACCTTTCGAATAAGGTCAAGTTGACACGCCAGCGAGGGTAATACCAAACCGGGAAGAAGTTTATAAATTTAAAGTCTTCCCGGCTGATTATCCAACCTTTCGAAAAGACTTCGGTAAAATTGTATTCTAAGCCGGGTAGTTACAGCCGGGCTGTTATCTACTAATCTAAACGGTTGAAGAAACCAAGTTAAAAAAAAATTTATGAGACAAAAAAAATAATAATAAAGCACTCAGCACATGATGTAGAAAATATTTTCATTAATATTTCAGTCTTACAAAAGTGCCCAGAGGCAGATCATTACATCATAAGATAAAAAAAAGAAAGAAGAAGGTCGGATGGATCAGATGCCCGGGAAGGGAGGTTCAGGTGCCTCGCTATGCAGCTCGGGCAGAGATAGAGCCTTCGGTCGAAAGCCTTGAATCCGCTGCTCAAGGATGCCGTAGAGGGCCTTCCGCTCAGAGCACTGGCCACTTTCGTAGCCATAAGTCCCAATCTCGTCCATAATGCCGGCCGAAACTGGGTGCTTATACAGACCTTGGAAGAAGCGGATTGCTGTCTCCCGGTCAGGAAGCGCCTTAGCGGCGAACTCCTCAGGCGCTTGGGCAGCCCAGGCAGCGGCTACGGAAGCCCGCTCCGATTGCTCTTTCTCCAGCTCATCGCTCAGACGGGCGATCTCCTCAGCTGACCGGGCATTGTCGGCCTCCAGCTGTTGGATCTTGGCCTGGGCCTGCTCATCGGCCTCTTTCGCGGCCTTGAGAAGTCCGTCGTGTTTGGCGTAAAGCTGACGGTAGACCGTGCAGTGCTCCAGCCACTTCGCCTCCGTCTTCTCCGCGTATTCGCGGGCGGCCTGAGCATCCTTCCGGCATTGGACCATCATGGCCTCCATCCGGGCCTTCTCCTCATCCGCCGACTTCATCAGCCGGGCGAAGTACTCCTCCCCGATCCGGCCGACCTACTTTAAAGACATGGAAAGTTTTTCAGACAAAAAAAAAACAAAACAAACAAAAACAATAAGGAAAGGGGGGTTACCTCAGACAGGTCGGCACGAAAAACTTGGAAAAGCTCTTCGTTTGACCGGTTCATCAGGAGTGGAGACCGGGGCACTATGGGTCCTTTGCCAGCGTCGGAGGACTGGGGCCCTTGGTGAGCAGGCTGGTTGACCTCTTCAGTCCTCCGCCTCTTTCGTTGAAGAGCCTCCTCAGCGGCCTCTTCCTCAGCTTCGACCTCCTCATTGGGCTGGCCTCCCCTCCCAGCCTGGGATGTGTGCCCGGTCTCTCCCATCAGGGTGTCGAACTCGAAGGTATCTACATTTATGTAGAGATCCCCCGAGTGAATCGGCTGGTTGGTTCCCTGATGGGATTGGGTGGGTTGCTCCTCTAGGGAGAAGGGCTGGCCGGATGGAGGGTTGAGTGGCTGAGCGGTGGAGGGCTCCTCAACCACTATCTGTGGGATGGGAAACTTGGACTGGAATTTCACCACTGAAACGGAAAAGAAACCGGTTAGAAGAAAGGAGTTGCGAATAAATTTTTAAAAAAAAGAGAAGGGCGGTTGATTGACCTTTCTCCTTCTTCTTCTTCGCCGGGCGTGAAGGACCGGCAGCGGCTGTGGCCTGGGCTTTGGATCCCATCGCCCGGCGGATGGGGATGGCTTCGGGGATCGTCCCGGGCAGAACAATCTCCAGCTCGGGGTCGGTCTCCCGGCCGGGGTAGACGCTCCACTTCCCGACGTGGTACTGACCGCGAGTGGAGGCGTCCCCGGCCCGGAGAGTGGCTTCCCAAGCAGCCAGGTCATCGGCCTCCACAGGTTTGACCTGATGCCTCATTCTCTTCCCCCAGACATTTTGGGCGAAAGGAAAAGAAGCCGGGGGGAACTTGATGGACACGTATTTGTCCTTCCACTTCTTGTTAGAATGTGGAAGGCCACAGAGGAATGCCCGGCCTTGGTGAGAAGACACCACCACGAATCCAAGAGTTTCTGTGGATCCGGGCCGGACATCGAACATGTGATCGAAGAGACGAAGGGAGAGAGGAATACAGAGAAACCGGCAGACGTTGATGAAACTGGCCAGCAAACGGTGACCATTTGGGGTCAATTGCCCGGGCATGATCCCGTAGGTCTCAAGGAAAAGGACTTTGAATGGGTGAATAGAGAATTCACCCAAGTCCTTGATTGAATGGTAATGGATACCAATCGACGTACCGATGTGGAGAGGTATGATGCTCTTCCAGGTTGCCCGGTATGTCAATTGGTACCCATCAGGCATCAGATTACGCAGTTCGTGGACTTGGGGCTTCTGCATGTACGATGGTTGCTCTTGGAGCAACCGGTCGTCTAGCTGGATGAAGCCCTCGTCCCCGATCTGGGCAACCGAGACCACTTGCGCCACGGGAGAAGGAGGAGCGCAAGTGGAAGCATCAACCGACTTCTTCTGTGGAGAAGTAGCCGGGCGCTCGGAATCAAAGGATGATGAAGAAGAAGAGGAACCAAATGTTGGAGACCGGCCACCAGAACCGTACGAGTGGACGGAAGGGTTCTGGCTATCTTCACGGTCTGACATGACTCAGAAAAGGATGGAAAGACATACTTGGAAACGATTGGAAGACTCGGAGGACTCGGAAATAGCAGAAGAAGCCGGGCAGTTTTTTGAATCGAAGATTTGCAAGTGAAGAAATTCCAAGGAGAACGACGCTTTATATAGGAGAGATGCCGCCCAAACGGACGAATAAAGAACTGACACGTGGCAGCTGAAATGATTTGTCATCATAACCTCTCGGGGAGACGAAACGGCACATTAAATCGGCGGCTCTGTACCCGATTTCGATGAGATTCTCCCGCTTTGGACACCCGGTTTTTGAAAAAATCAAATTTCAAATTTCAAATGTTTTGGGTTAGGCGCTGGTTTTCCGAGGCCATTTTCCCGCCAAAAAGCGACTGGGCAGTTCAAACTTCAAAAGATAATCGCATGTGCTTCCCGCTCCTGATGGTCCCCACAGGACCGGGTATCGGAGGACTCCTTGATGGGTAATAACCCATGGATACCACCCGGTTGGTTCGCCTGACTGGGTGGTGACAGGAGATGGCAGATCATGTCCTTCGGAGACCGGGTCGGGAGACCAGTTGGCTGGAGGGAATGAGCACACGACACCTGCAGAAAGATTCTCGAAGTACTCTTATGCGACCGGTCAGACAAATGACCGGTTGGATTACAAGAGACGTGCTTGACGTGCTTAATTATGTTATAAATACCCCTAAAATCTTCATTTGTGAGGTATGTTCTAATTAACCTACACGGCTTGTACTTTGTAATAGTCCCAATAATTATCAATAACAAACCGGGTTACAGGTGTTCCCACCTACAGCCCTTCCGACTACTTTTACAATTTGTATTTGCGTGGTAATTTACACCATCATTAGGCTAGTAATCACTTTTGAGAGCTTAATTTTTTGTATTTCCGTTACACTCTCAACCGTGGTTACCTTTCATTGACATGACTCAAACTTTTTTTAAAGTTGACATGTTGTTCTTAACGTCGTTAAGAACATTAAACTCAGCCCAAATAATTTTCACCATAAAAGATTACAAGAAAATGGTAAAAATTAAAAGAAAAAGAAATTAAAGTTGTTGAAGATTTTGAAATTTAAAATTACTCCATAGAATACAGGTGGATAGAGCTTAATATTGAACGGGGCCACCTTTAAAAAATATGTTAGACTAGGCCAATATGTTTGTATCTGGTACATAGCCAGGCCTGACAATAGTTCACGCGAAACCATGATATCATGTACTACCTCCGTCCCACTGTCTTTGTCCACTTTTAACTTTTGGAACTGTTCATCTAAGCACTTTGACTCATCAAATTCTCTCAATGTGTAAAATTAAAAATAGTCATGTGTGATCTTGTTTGATTCGTCTTAACATATAGATTATCAATATATAATTTATATAATTTTTTAATATACAAATTACAAGATAAAATGTATTAAAGAAGTGCATTGGATGGTGTGCCAAAAGGTAAGTGGACAAAGACAGTGGGACGGAGGGAGTACTCCGTATTTGTACCCATTAAAAAAATTATTTCCGACTCATACCTATTTACTAATTTACCCAAAAGGTCTTGATGCCCTATGTACTAGATTTGGACTCATTAGGTCTCGATAAAGGGACATCCATGAAGAAATTTGATAACTTTTGTACAATATACTCCCTCCGTCCACATTTAATCTTCCCGCTTTGACTGGGCGCGCAAATTTAGGTAAAGTGAAAATGTAGTTGACTTTCCCAAATTACCCCTCCCTCCTTCACTCAACCAGCCTCCCTGCCACCAAACTCCTCTCTCAGCTTATCCAAATCACCGACAATACCAACCCAAATCACCGTTCGTCCCAGCCAAATCCCGACAACACCCAAATTCAAGTCTACCTACCTAAATTCCCGTATGTCCTTCAACTCATCACCGGCAGCACCAGAAATCAATGGTCAGGACCTCCACTTAGTCTTCTTCCTCGACGAATTGAACACCACTGGCCGACAACCCTCTATCTCGGTGGAGAAAGCATATACAACTTTCAGATCTGGCNGCGAAAACATGATTTACTCCTTCAGATCTGATGAAGAAGAAGACTTGATGACCAGAAGATTGAATGAAAAAGAATACTCAAATAGATCTATCCATGTTGATATCACCGCAAGGAATAAGAAGAAAAAAAGAAAGAAAGGAAAATGGCGAGAGGTTTAGTGGCTGGACAAAATTGGTATGAGAAGAAAGAAGATGGTAGTAGCAAAGATGAAGGGGCGGCTGGCTGGACACAATTGGAGAGGTGAGGAAGAGGAAAAGAAAGAAGAAAAAAAGAGAAGAAAAGAAGAAGAATTGGGGTGGCAGGGGGTACGGGAAAGATAAGGTAGGAAGAAAGAAAAAAATGTATGAGGGTAAATAAGTCTTTTTGATACAAAAAGGTTACTAAATAAGGAAATGGGAAGATAATTTGTGGACGGATGAAAAAGGAAAGTGGGAAGATTATTTATGGACGGAGGGAGTATGAATATAATTTGTAAAAACAATTTCTACTACTACTATAAAAGAAAAATATCTAAATTTAATATAAACAGTAACACGATTAGTAGGCCACTATGACAACATCTCATCAACAAAAGAATTTCAAAATCTAGAAAATTGTAACATCTTTGAAATATAAAACTATTTTTCCAAATTTTCTTACTGTGTAATTGTTAATTGTGCCATTTATACTTTCTACAACTAGAGGAAACTTGTTCTTTCAATTGGGTTTGGATTATATAGAATTATAACTAAAAAATTTGTTATATTCCGTGTATATTAGTAAACAATACGCCTTAAATAGATCGAAAAAAGTTAAAAATACACGACCCTTTAATTTAATTAAATTACAGGTACGAATATGACTACTAGTAATCAAAATTTTTTATGAGTTAAATCCCACTTAAGAAGAAGATGGAGTTGGAACTTTATTTGGATTCGTTTCAAACTCGATCCATTTACATGAGTCATGACTAGGGATAACCAGCAAGAAAGCATTATTGTTTCAAAAATGAGTTTATTGCACCATTATTCCCTGTGATTTGGTAAATATGCATGATTACCCTTTATAGTTTCAAAACTTATATCATTGCTGCTCATTATTCTGATATTGCTACGCCAATTCCCTATGGACAAAAATATCCTTCAAATACTAAGTGAATAGCTCCACTACCCCTATAATTTTAGAAATGTGAACCAATGCCACCTCTCCTTTTTTATTTTTTTCTTTTTTCTTTTATTTTTTTTCATAAATAGAAGAAAAATGTTTGTCTTTGAAACAATCAAATGTTGTTTTTCAAAAGTCAAAACTATATCTCTAAAAATGTTTTAGAAAATAAAAAATATTTTCTTTTGAAATAAAAATGAAATAAAAAATTTAGCATAAACTTCATTTGTCAATTAAAATAAGTTAATTTTTTGTCTAAATTTTTTATTTTTATTTTTTTTTTTGAATATGTTGAGACCAAATCAATAGTCAGTAAGGTCTTTTTAATATATAATTAATTATATAATAATAATATTTTTTGTACCGATGCGCAAAAATTTTTGTTCATGACTTAACTTTTCTTAATTTATAAAAGTATTTTTTCATATACTTTTCTTTATCTTTGTTTACTTCTCTATTCTTTTTTCTTTTATTTTAATTTTGATTAAAATAAAAGAAATAGTGTAAAATAATTTTTTTTAAATGAAAAAGGGAAAAAAAATAAACAAATTATAAAATGAATAGTAAATGAGAATTGAGCTTTAGTGTAAAAAGTGTTGAAACACGAGTTTATCACGTTTTCGTACTAAAGCAGTGTTCGTGTTTATGACAGGTTTTGGTAATGCCAGACCGCTGTGAACGAGACAAGTTGTTGAATATACAAGGCGAGAAATAAATATAAGAAGAAAGCAAGAGAACAAGAGCTAAAAGAGACCAAGAACGAAGATCGTAGTCTTTAGCATCGTTTAATCGGTCACAATGTGATCAAGACCGTAGTCTATAGCATCGTTGAGTCTTTACTCATTCTATATAATTAATTGGAAATATAATTAGTCATAAGTAAACTAATTGTTTTACCTTCCCGGGCAGAGATGTGGAGAGATGCGGATTTGTGTTTGAAACTCCTTTGATTTGATTTCCAAAATCATTTTTTTTAAACCAAATGCTCCGATACCAAAATGTAACACCCCAACTCGAATAACCTGATTACCTAGGTTATTTGAGTCGGAGTAGTTACCATGATGGTAATAACGGATGATAATTTGAGCAATAATTTAAAACCAATTAAACTTTAATACAAATGATAAATGCAATGATAAATTCGGAGTGATGTATGAAAACAGTGCGGAAGCTAAGTTGATAAAACATAAACAAGTTTTGTTACATTTTTTGGGAACTCGCCCGAAAAGGTATTTTATTTAAATAAAGCATCATAATTGTGGTCCACCAGTCCGTACATCTCGTCACTCTCATTGACCTCCGGGATGGGCTCTATGATCAGTATGCTTACCTGCGTGTAGCAAGTAAAACAAACTACACGCTCAGCGTGAGCTGAGGAATACGCTAATACAGCAATTCCAAGTTGAATAGCAAGTAGACATATAATTATTCATGATATAGCACACTAACCCCGGTCAGTGATGTCAGACTGCTAAGTCCCGCGCAATCACGCTATAAGAGACGCACGAGGCGTGATCTCTTATGCATGCATATGATGTGATATGCTTCAATATGGATGATGAAATGAAACATATGATATGAACAAATTTTAAACAATGTGAATATGTAATCATATATTAATTTATTTGGGTGAAACATGATGAAAATATCATTTAAATAAGCTACGGGGCTCGGAACGGTCGACCATTTGGCACGGCGGTCGACCTCAATCTTCATTTCGTCGGATTGGCGGATTTTCATTTCTTTGAGTTATTTTAACACCTATGATTAACATATCTATGTATTTAAAGTAATCCTAACACTTATATATTCATGTATGGAAGAGTATTAAGAAAAACATATTTTCAACGTTATAAGTTTGATAAGTTTGATCTTAAAACATAGATGACTTATAATATGACAATCAATCCTAACGATATATCTAGATTGATATTCAACCAAGGATTGAGTTACTAGGGTACAATGTACTCGCCTTGATATCTTAGAGGTCGGAAAGATAGAAAACCTTGGCACTTCTTTTTTAGCTCAAGATTTTAGGAAACCTTGGCACTTCTTTTTGTTCCTTCCTCTTCCTTTGGCACAACAATGGAGTTGGAGTCTCCTTTCTCCTTCCTTGAAGAGCTGGCCGACAGAGAGAGAGTGAAGAGAGAGTTGAGAATGTTGTGAGGTGGAGATTTTGATAAAATGAGAGAAAAGTTTGGAGTATTATAGAAGGAAATTTGGTGTTTGTGTAGTGGATGGGTGAGTAGACTTCATAACATGTTCCTAGGGTGGCTAGATTGAATATTTAAGGATTTGCAGCTACGTGATTGGGATAATTTGGATATTGAAAATATTCTCCTACTCCTTAATTGATAAACTGGTTAAAACGGTACGCGTTTTTTGCCCAAACAGTTCCGAATTGAAAATGGATCGCGTTTTCGGAATCAGACAGTCAAAACTAAAATTTTGATATAATTAAAATATTTTTCTGAAAACTTTTATTTTTCAGTGTTTGGGTCTGTCTCAGTCATTAATTAATATTAAAATTAATTAATTCTTTTAGGCCTAATTTCGGGGCGTTACATTTCTCCCCCCCCCCCCTAAAAATAATTTCGTCCTCGAAATTACCTGATCATTGATCGCTGAAAAGTTGTGGATATTGAGATCGTATGGACTCCTCAATTTCCCAGGTTGCTTCTTCGATAGAGTGACTTCTCCAAAGCACCTTGACTAAGAGTACAGTTTTGTTCCTCAATACTCAAACTTCTCGCGCAAGAATCTCTACAGGTTCCTCTTCATACGAAAGATTTTCATCCAATGTGACTGTCTCTGTTAGAATGATGTGAGAGGGATCTGATCTGTATCTCCTCAACATCGATACATGAAAAACATCGTGAATCTTGTTTAGCTCTGGTGGTACAGGTCCCACACGTTCTGTAACTTTGTATGAACCTATAAACCTCGGACTGAGTTTCCCCTTTTTGCCAAAGCGTAAAACTTTCTTCCACGGAGAAACCTTCATGAATAACCTGTCACCAACAGCATATTCAAGGTCGCGTCGCTTGAGGTCTGCATAAGATTTTTGTCTGCTGCTATCTGAAGTCGTTCTCTGATCAACTGAACTTTCTCCTCTGTTTCGCGCACTAGTTCTGGACCTTCGAGTTTTCTCTCTTTCAATTCAGTCCAACAAACTGGTGTTCGACATTTCCTTCCGTACAGTGACTCATACGGAGCCATTTCGATACTTGCCTGATAACTATTGTTATATGCAAATTCCATCAGAGGAAGATATTTTTCCCAATTGTTTCCAAAANTATCTGAAGTCGTTCTCTGATCAACTGAACTTTCTCCTCTGTTTCGCGCACTAGTTCTGGACCTTCGAGTTTTCTCTCTTTCAATTCAGTCCAACAAACTGGTGTTCGACATTTCCTTCCGTACAGTGACTCATACGGAGCCATTTCGATACTTGCCTGATAACTATTGTTATATGCAAATTCCATCAGAGGAAGATATTTTTCCCAATTGTTTCCAAAATCAATGACGCTTGCTCGCATCATATCTTCGAGAATTTGAAATATAGTTTGGAACCAAGAGCTTTCTGTAAGCTCTTCCAAAATTGGGGAAAAAATCGAGGATCGCAGTCTAAAATGATGGACGATGGTACTCCATGTAGTCTGACAATCTCGCGGATATACAGCTCAGCCAGACGCTGTAGTGTAAAATCTCGCCGAATTGGTAAGAAATGCACCGATTTTGTCAAACGATCAACAATAACCCATACTGCATCATTCTTCCTTGGGGATAATGGTAATCCGACTACGAAATCCATCGTAATGACGTCCCATTTCCACTCAGGAATAGTGATCTGCTGTAATAGTCCTGTAGGTACCTGATGTTCGGCTTTGACTTGCTGACAAGTCATACACCTCGATATGAATTCGGTAATTTCCTTTTTCATGGCTAACCACCAATAATGTTTCTTCAGATCCTGAAACATTTTGTTACTACCGGGATGCATGGTATACACGGTTCCGTGAGCTTCACGCAATAAGAGATCTCTCACATCACCTGATGGTACAACCAAACGATCTCGATAGTATAATGTACCATTATCTCGAACAAAAAAGTCTTGTTTCTCTCCCTTGGAAACAAGCTCACATGTCTCGAGACAAAAGGTATCCTGATGCTGTGCTAAAATGATATCCCGATCCAAAGTGGGCCGTATGTGGAGTTCAGCAAGAGTCTTACGACTAGGAGCATTGGCTACAACATTCGCCTTACCAGGATGACAAGCGATGTGACAGTCATAGTCCTTAATCAACTCTAGCCACCTTCTCTGTCGAACGTTTAACTCCTTTTGACTCATCAAATACTGTAAACTCTTGTGATCAGTGAATATGCAAGTCGTCTCGCCGTATAAGTAATGCCTCCATATCTTCAATGCAAGAACAAGAGCTGCTAACTCCAAATCATGAGTCAGATAGTTGCATTCATGAGGTTTCAGTTGTCGTGATGCATAAGCTATGACCTTGCCTTCCTGCATCAGTACACACCCAAGTCCCTGATGTGATGTATCACTGAAAACTGTGTAGTCAATACCAAGTGTTGGTTGAACTAACACAGGTGCCTGAGTCAAACATTCTTTCAACTGTTCGAAGCTTTTCTGACAAGCTTCTGTCCAAGCAAACTTGATATCCTTTTTCAACAATTTATGAAGTGGTGAAGCGATTCGAGAGAAATCCTTCACGAAGTGATGATAATAACCAGCGAGTCCAAGGAAACCCCGTACCTCACGTGTATTGGGTGGAGTTTTCCATTCAGTGATTGCTGAAATTTTGCATGGGTCAACTTTGACCCCTTCATGGGTGGAGTTTTCCATTCAGTGATTGCTGAAATCACGTGCATGAGAAAAGTGACCTCACTCAGCCAAAATTCACATTTAGAAAGTTTGGCATAAAGCTTATGCTCTCGCAGAATACTCAACACGATGCATAAATGCTCAGCATGATCCTCTGGTGTTTATGAGTACACCAAGATATCGTCGATGAAGACCACAACAAATTGATCCAGATACTTTCTAAAGACTCTATTCATGAGATCCATGAATACAGCTGGTGCATTCGTTAAGCCAAAGAGCATAGCGGTAAATTCATAATGTCCATAACGTGTACGAAACGCTGTCTTTGGAATGTCTTCTGGCTTCACAGGAATCTGGTGGTAACCTGATCTGAGATCGACCTTTGAGAAAACAGTCGCACCTTGTAATTGATCAAACAGATCATCAATACGGGGTAACGGATAACGGTTCTTGATCGTCACTTTGTTCAGCTAACGATAGTCAATGCATAATCTCATCGATCCATCTTTCTTCTGGACGAAAAGGATAGGTGCTCCCCACGAGGAAACACTAGGACGGATGAAGACTTTATCTAATAACGCCTGCAATTGAGCTTTCAATTCCTTCATTTCTGCAGGGGCCATTCGATAAGGTGATGCTGAGATGGATCCTGTACCAGGTACAAGATCAATAGAGAATTCTACTTCTCTTGGAGGAGGTAGACAACGAAGTTCTTCAGGAAATACATCAGGAAAGACATAAACCACAGATATGTCCTTATGGTTAGGTGTTTCCTTCTGTATATCCTTAACAGTGCACAAGAATGCTTTACATTTCCTGTGAATGAGCCGTTTTGCTTGCATATAAGAGATGAATTCTGGGGCTTTCCGCAGAAGTTCTCCCCGAATGATCACTTCGTTACCATCATCAGTACGATGTTTCACCACTCGTTCCTTGCACTCGACAATAGCCTTGTGTTTTGTCAACCAGTCCTTGCCAAGTATAACGTCAAACTCCTTGTGAGGGAGTTCAATGAGATCGGCTAAGAATACCTTTCCTTGAGCCGTCTACGGACATTGATTATAGACATGTTGAAGACGTAGATTGTGTCCTAGTGGGTTTGACACAACTACTGGATGCTCGAGAGTTTCCTTAATGATGTCAAACTTTACAGGCATAGGTATACATATGTACGATAAGGTAGATCCAGGGTCAATTAATCCAGATACAATGATTTCAAATAAAGTGAACATACCCATGATAACATCATTAGCCTGCGGATCTGTACGCCCTTGCATGGCATACATACGAGCTGGTGCTCGTTCTTGCTGTTGACTGGATGCTGGTCTTTTCGGCTGGTTAGAAGCAGCCGTGGAACGATGACTCTGGGTAGGCTCGGCCCGCCGGACAGTTGAAACAACCGGCGTGCCTGGTGCTGTGGAGAAAACCTCGCCTGGGTTCGTCGGGCAATCCTTCCGAAAGTGACCTGCCTGACCACACCCGAGGCAAAGACCCTGTGTGAGCCAACACTCACCAGCATGCCTGCGGCCACACTGTGAGCATCCAGGTTTACGGTATGTCGCTTTCTCCTTCCCACTCTTACTAGTGACGGTCACAGACGCAGAGGGAGTAGATTTCGCTTGCTTATCATGACGAGAGTTGCTCGGTGCGGACAAGGTTCTCTTGTTAACATGCCCAATCTTCGGGCCTGATTGGACGGCCCGACTTTCTTCCAGCAAAGCTTGATCGTACGCAGCCTTCCTGATGAGCTCCTCGTTCAGTTCAAGAGCCTTCTTGTAAACATCATTGATGTCGGCTCGGGGAACTATTATGAGTGATGATGAGAGGTCGGGTCTCATATCCTTGATGAACTTCTTGCAGCGTTTCTCCATGGTGTTGACTAAGTCTTTACCAAACTCAGCCAACCCGTCAAACTGCTGACGGTACTCAGGGAGAGTCAGCTTCCCCTGGGTGAATTTGGAGAATTCCTCATATTTGGTCTCGACGTAGTGATCGGGCACATACTCTGCTCTGAAGAGTATATCGAAGGTATCCCATGGTACAGGCACGGGAATGTTGGCACTTACTCGCTTCCACCAATCATAGGCGGCATCCTGCAGTAAGGATATGGCGTGCTATCCCCAATCTTCGTGAGGTACCTTCAAGTTCTCCAGTACCCTCACAGTGCGTTCTTTCCAACGCTTGGCTAATAGGCGATTCCCTATCTGATCGCTGCAAATTTTCTGCGTCCCATTCCTCTTGAGTTTCTCAATCGATATGATGGGTACAGGAGGTGGTGGAGGAGGCACATGTGCTCCAGCCATCTGCTGGAAGAACTGAAACATGTTAGCAACCATTTGTGGTTGGAACATCGGAATGGCCGTATTCGGGTTCTGACCCGTGAACTACTCCGGAACATGCTGAGGTTCCGGCTGAGGCTGTTGTTGTTGGGGTACGTAGCTGGAAGCTTCAGTGTGCACCGTATGCACACTAACGTGCTCAGGCTCCGCGTGAGGGTTTGCCTGACCGTGAGTCGAGTCTTGACTCATTCTATATAATTAATTGGAAATATAATTAGTCATAAGTAAACTAATTGTTTTACCTTCTCGGGCAGAGATGTGGAGAGATACGGACTTGTGTTTGAAACTCCTTTGATTTGATTTCCAAAATCATTTTTTTAATCCAAATGCTCCGATACCAAAATGTAACACCCCAACTCGAATAACCCGATTACCTAGATTACTTGAGTCGGAATAGTTACCATGAGGGTAATAACGGATGATAATTTGAGGAATAATTTAAAACCAATTAAACTTTAATACACATGATAAATGCAATGATAAATTTGGAGTGATGTCTGAAAACAGTGCGGAAGCTAAGTTGATAAAACATAAACAAGTTTTGTTACATTTTCTGGGAACTCTCCCGAAAAGGTATTTTATTTAAATAAAGCATCATAATTGCGGTCCACTAGTCCGTACATCTCGTCACTCTCATTGACCTCCGGGATGGGCTCCATGATCAGTATGGTTACCTGCGTGTAGCAAGTAAAACAAACTACACGCTCAGCGTCAGCTGAGAAATACGCTAATACAGCAATTCCAAGTTGAATATCAAGTAGACATATAATTATTCATGATATAGCATAGTATAGCATGTATGTTCAAGATGATGATGACAATACATAATTGATGCCAAACATAAAAATGATGATTTTACTTGATGATGATTTCATGCTGTATGATTCTAACCCACAAGGACAACCCTTGCACTATGAGATTCGCCCATTTGGTACGACGAACTCATGCCACCATAGTCTCACGAGGGAGACTAGAAAAAATAGGGGTGGTACTCGAAAGCCTAAATACCATGTACGTACACTAAGCCCGGTCAGTGATGTCGGACTGCTAATTAGTCCCGCACAATCACGCTATAAGAGACGCACAAGGCATGATCTCTTACGCATGCATATGATGTGATATGCTTCAATATAGATGATGAAATGAATCATATGATATGAACAAATTGTAAACAATGTGAATATGTAATCATATATTAATTTATTTGGGTGAAACATGATGAAAATATCATTTAAATAAGCTACAGGGCTCGGAACGGTCGACCGTTTGGCACGGCGGTCGACCTCGATCTTCATTTTGTCGGATTAGAAGATCACCGTGACGGTCGACCGCGGTTGACCGTTGTTGACTGGATGGGAACGGCGGCCCTCGGCTGGACAGGCGGCGGTCGACCGTTTGCCACCGGCGGTCGACCGTTTGGCTTACAATCGTGCTCTGTTTCGATGTTTAATGCGACGGTTGACCGTTTACGTCGACCGTTCGGGTCTTCAAATCTAATCTTTGAGATTTTCGGATGTCTAAAATACTTCTTTGAGTTATTTTAACACCTATGATTAACATATTTATGTATTTGAAGTAATCCTAACACTTATATTTTCATGTATGGAAGAGTATTAAGAAAAACATATTTTCAACATTATAAGTTTGATAAGTATGATCTTAAAACATAGATGACTTATAATATGACAATTAATCCTAACGATATATCTAGATTGATATTCAACCTAGGATTGCGTTACTAGGGTACAATGTACTCACCTTGATATCTTAGAGGTCGGAAAGATAGAAAGATAATAATACGCCTCAACGAACATTCAACGTACGGTCACCCCTATCAACTTCGAGCTTCTGATGCCCAATCTTCTTGGAAATAACCTCCAGAAGTTCCTAATGACCACAAGAGAGTTGACGGTAATCATTTGGAAAGGAACGATGCGAAAATGATGAAGAAACATAGCCAACCCGAGGATCTCGCCACTACTGGCGCAGCCCCGGTATTTTGGCCATATCTCCTTTATTACTTAACGAAATCACGAACCGTTTGTTGGGTTGGATTCGTAACATACGCGGCTACGATATTGGTGTAATAAACAATTCGTGAAAATGGATAGAAAATTACAAAATTGACGATGAAGTCACTGCTGTGTTTTTAGCTCAAGATTTTGGGAAACCTTGGTACTTCATTTTGTTCTTTCCTCTTCCTTTGGCACAACAATGGAGTTGGAGTCTCCTTTCTCCTTCCTTGAAGAGCTGGCCGACAGAGAGAGAGTGAAGAGAGAGTTGAGAATGTTGTGAGGTGGAGATTTTGACAAAATGAGAGAAAAGTTTGGAGTATTATAGAAGGAAATTTTGTCTTTGTGTAGTGGATGGGTGAGTAGACTTCATAGCATGTTCCTAGGGTGGCTTGATTGAATATTTAAGGATTTGCAGCTATGTGATTGGGATAATTTGGATATTAAAAATATTCTCCTACTTTGTAACTGATAAACTGGCTAAAACGGTACGCGTTTTTTGCCCAAACTGTTCCGAATTGAAAATGGATGGCGTTTTCGGAATCAGACTGTCAAAACTAAAATTTTGATATAATTAAAATATTTTTCTGAAAACTTTTATTTTTCAGTGTTTGGGTCTGTCTAAGTCATTAATTAATATTTAAATTAATTAATTCTTTTAGGCCTAATTTCGGGGCAATACATTTCTCCCCCCCCCCCTTAAAAATAATTTCGTCCTCGAAATTATCTGATCATTGATCGCTGAAAACTTGTGGATATTGATATCGCATGGACTCCTCAGTTTCCCAGGTTGCTTCTTCGACAGAGTGACTTCTCCAAAGCACCTTGACTAAGGGTATGGTTTTGTTCCTCATTACTCGAACTTCTCGCGCAAGAATCTCTACAGGTTCCTCTTCATACGAAAGATTTTCATCCAATGTGACTGTCTCTGTTGGAATGATGTGAGAGGGATCTGATCTGTTTCTCCTCAACATCGATACATGTAAAACATCGTGAATCTTGTTTAGCTCTGGTGGTAATTCCAACATGTAGGCTACAGGTCCCACACGTTCTGTAACTTTGTATGGACCTATAAACCTCGGACTGAGTTTCCCCTTTTTGCCAAAACGTAAAACTTTCTTCCACGAAGAAACTTTCAAGAATACCGTGTCACCAACAGCATATTCGAGGTCGCGTCGCTTGAGGTCTGCATAAGATTTCTGTCTGCTGCTATCTGAAGTCGTTCTCTGATCAACTGAACTTTCTCCTCTGTTTCGCGCACTAGTTCTGGACCTTCGAGTTTTCTCTCTTTCAATTCAGTCCAACAAACTGGTGTTCGACATTTCCTTCCGTACAGTGACTCATACGGAGCCATTTCGATACTTGCCTGATAACTATTGTTATATGCAAATTCCATCAGAGGAAGATATTTTTCCCAATTGTTTCCAAAATCAATGACGCACGCTCGCATCATATCTTCAAGAATTTGAANGTCGCGTCGCTTGAGGTCTGCATAAGATTTCTGTCTGCTGCTATCTGAAGTCGTTCTCTGATCAACTGAACTTTCTCCTCTGTTTCGCGCACTAGTTCTGGACCTTCGAGTTTTCTCTCTTTCAATTCAGTCCAACAAACTGGTGTTCGACATTTCCTTCCGTACAGTGACTCATACGGAGCCATTTCGATACTTGCCTGATAACTATTGTTATATGCAAATTCCATCAGAGGAAGATATTTTTCCCAATTGTTTCCAAAATCAATGACGCACGCTCGCATCATATCTTCAAGAATTTGAATAGTCCTCTCAGACTGTCCGTCAGTCTAAGGATGGAAAGCCGTGCTGAAATGTAGTTTGGAACCAAGAGCTTTCTGTAAGCTCTTCCAAAATTGGGAAGTAAATCGAGGATCGCGGTCTGAAATGATGGTCGATGGTACTCCATGTAGTCTGACAATCTCGCGGATATACAGCTCAGCCAGATGCTGCAGTGTAAAATCTCGCCGAATTGGTAAGAAATGCGCCGATTTTGTCAAACGATCAACAATAACCCATACTGCATCATTCTTCCTTGGGGATAATGGTAATCCGACTACGATACCATCGTAATGCGGTCCCATTTCCACTCAGGAATAGTGATTTGCTGTAATAGTCCTATAGGTACCTGATGTTCGGCTTTGACTTGCTGACAAGTCATACACCTCGATGTGAATTCGGTGATTTCCTTTTTCATGGCTGACCACCAATAATGTTTCTTCAGATCCTGAAACATTTTGTTACTACTGGGATGCATGGTATACACGGTTCCGTGAGCTTCACGCAATAAGAGATCTCTCACATCACCTGATGGTACTACCAAACGATCTCGATAGTATAATGTACCATTATCTCGAACAAAAAAGTCTTGTTTCTCTCCCTTGGAAACAAGCTCACATGTCTCGAGACAAAAGGTATCCTGATGCTGTGCTAAAATGATATCCCGATCCAAAGTGGGCCGTATGTGGAGTTCAGCAAGAGTCTTACGACTAAGAGCATCGGCTACAACATTCGCCTTACCAGGATGGGATAAGCGATGTGACAGTCATAGTCCTTAATCAACTCTAGCCACCTTTTCTGTCGAAGGTTTAACTCCTTTTGACTCATCACATCTGTAAACACTTGTGATCAGTGAATATGCAAGTCGTCTCGCCGTATAAGTAATGCCTCCATATCTTCAATGCAAGAACAACAGCTGCTAACTCCAAATCATGAGTCGGATAATAACCAGCGAGTCCAAGGAAACCCCCACTACAAAAAAAGGTAGCAATACCGACAGGGGTCAATATGTCGCTAAAGGTTGAATATCTGTCTCTACTCGCTTTTACCGACAGATAATTGTCTGTCGCTACGCTGTCGCTAAAAACTCCATCAGTAAAAGTAATACCGACAGATAAAATATACTGTCGCTAAAATAGTGTAATAGCGACAGACCAAAGATGTCGCTAAAAAAGAGAGAAGTACCGACAAAACATATATGTCGCTAAAAACATGGATTACCGACAAAAAATAGTGTGGGTAAAACATTTTTTTTCTGTCGGTAATACCTTATTTTTACCAACATTAACAATTATTATAACTGTCGCTAAAAGTTGGATTACCCACAAAAAATTGTGTGAGTAAAACATTTTTTTCTGTCGGTAATAGTTTATTTTGACCAACATTAACATTTATTATACTCCCTCCGTCCCTCATAGATCTTCCCAATAGCCTCTTTTCTTTGTCCACAATAGATCTTCTCATTTCATTTTTTAACAATCAAAATACCACAACTACCCTCACTTACTTTATTTATTACACCTCACCCACCACATTTAATACACTCCACCCATTTTCATTAAGGGTATTATGGTAAACTTTCACTTTTTTTCAACTCTCCTTAAAAACCACTAAAAGTCAAAATGAGAACATCTTAGGGGGGACGGAGGGAGTAATTGTTACTAAAAAATAATACTCATACTTGTATTAACAACCATACATAATACGATAACATTTCAAAGGATTACAACTAACCCATTTACTTGAAAGTAAAACAACATCTCAAAATTAGTTCATCATTTGTGTACGTTTCAAGATAAAGTATAAACAGTCAAAGTGAACTAAATTAAAATACACATTGATATGGAAGATATAGTCCAAAGCTTTAATGCTCATCACTGTCTGCATCTTCAAGTTCATCGCTCTCAGCTTCATCATCTTTGTTCCATCGATCTTGACTTTTCACAGTGGTTGTATTATCATCAATTGTAATTCCATCGATCTTGACTTTTCACAGTGGTTGTATTACCATTAATTGTAAGGTCATCGATTTTGGATTAGCCATTGAACCCTATGCAAAAAAAATTAATTATAAGCACATGATAAGTACATATGACCATACAAGGTAAAACTTAGCAACATTAGTCAACCATTCTTTTTCATGTCCATTCTAACGTAAAAGCTAAGCCGTAGTTCAGATTGGGTCTCAATGGACGTACATCACTACCTTGGTGGATCCAGGCCACCTCTCGTGGGCTACTAAACCCATCCATCCAATTCCAATTTTATTATTATGATGGATCGAGGCCACCTCGGGCTACTACACCCATCCGGTCAGTTTCAATTTTATTATTATGGTGGATCCAAGCCACCTCCGTTGAACTGCTACGTTCATCCGGTCATCTATGGTGAATCTAGGTCACCTCCGTCGGAACACTAAGTTCGTGTGGTCAACTAATTATTTAACGTAAAAAGAAAGTCAAATTCACATTCAATATCCTCCCCATATTTGAGTCAGGATTTATTTTCACGATATTGTCAAAAAATAGTACTCCGTAGTTCACAGCATGCATCATATTTGCAATTGTACACATAACCAAATAGAGTAATCACATGCATGGTACTTATTAATTTAAAAAAACCAATGGTATAAGCCCAAATGCCCGTAACCACAATAGGCACACACATATTTTATCCAGTCAAACTCACATCCAAATTCCAAAATGGCACTTAGAATGCAAGTAAGTGAGATTCCAAAGGTGCACAGCCTTAGTACATATGCCGAACAACCATTCCAACCCTGCACAATCTGGGTACATATGTCAAATAAGTTAGCTAGCGCAATCCCTCTCTGCCCAAATCAATCTAACATTTACACGATCTGATTCTTAACATACAAATTGCTGTTTCCAAAGTTCCCAATAAAATTCACAAAACACCAAGTAACATAAAAGCCTAATTGAACTATTTTCCTGAGTAAGTTTCTGTCGTGGATACGAATCAATATCAAAACGAGATGAGGAGATGAACGACCCCAATGATCCCTTGCAGAACCTGCTGGAAACGGAGATGTCCCCGGAGCTTGACCGCCCTTAACCGGCGACCAACAGTGGATCGACCTCCACGCAACCCAACCCAATTTCCCGATTTCTGATTCCTAATTTCAGTCCAAATATGTTTAATCCACACAATACCACGATTCAATTCACCACTATCATCATCCAAAGTCTACCCATTCAATTGCAAATTCAATTTCTCAACAAGCCAAGCATACACACAATAGGCTATATAGACACGAGCATTAGGGTATATATATGCTTATAACCTAGTATGATTCTAACGGAAGAGGATCCACCCACTCACCTCGATTAATCGAAGAATGAAATCTCAAATTGAAAAATCAGATCTCGAGCTACAATACCGCTGCCCTCTTTTCCCGTTGAACTTTGTCCGTGTGCACAAGAAAAGGAGACGGAACAACGGTGTTGACCGCCGGTGATGACGATGAACTCATGACGGTGATGATGATCGAAAATACCGCAGAAGAAGAAGAAACTGACGGCTTGATGGAGTTTTTGTAAGTTAGGGTTGAGCATTTACAATTTGGGTTAGGACTTTGAGAGTAATCCGTCTTCCGCTTCTCGTTTCCCTCTTCAGGATCTCCCTTCCTCCTCTATCAACATTAAAACTGCTTAATATTATAAATTGACCCCCATTTTGCTAATGTGTTTGCTAATTGATCCTTATAATTAGATTCTAAAATTAAACCATAAACACAAATCCATCCATAATCATAATTTTAACCAAGGTTATACAATTTAATATAAAAACAAACTCACTAAGTCCAACAAAATATAACAACACATGCACAAATAATAGACTTATCATTTTTTTACCATGAACCACAAAATAAACACAAGACTAGCAGGAAATTGAAGCATTTTGGGTCACTACATTATTTGGGTCATAACTTTGGCTATGGGTATCTGATTTCAGCAGTCTACCCCTTTCCGGAGAGGTGTCGGTGAGACGCACAGGGGTCTGATCCGTCAAAGACCTATCGGGATCCATCTTCGACCCAAAATCCTACTTTTTAGACTGTTAATTTTACAGTTTTGTCTTTTCTAGGTCTTTTTCCTACTTGTTTACAGTTTTTAGCTATAAATGCCTTTCTTGTGAGCAGTTTTATGCAGACTTGGTATGACAGTTGATTCGGTTTTCGGTTTCACTATCAATCTCCTGATTTTTGGTTTCCGATTTGCAGTTGGCCGACATATCTTTTAACCGCATTGTAAATGGTTAAGAATCTATATCTTATTATTCTACATCAATAATATGAATAATTCTACATATCTCCACTAGCATTTTCATCCCTCTCGTTTTTAATATGTTGATTTGTTCTTTCATCATATGTCTTGATTCTAGTTAGTCAGTTTAGTCCTTTAATTTTAATTTATAACTTAAACATCTGAAATTAAAAATTATAATTTATAATTTGTAAATATTCAATGTAAAAAATTATTTTTAACCTTTAATTTTTAGTTTTTTATCTTTTAAATTTATAATTCATTTTTAATATCATATATTAAGGTTTTTCATTTCCAATTTCATGTACTAAATGATGCCTAATTTTATGATTTTTAAAATTAAGATATTTAAATTAAATATCAATAAAATCAATACCGACAGATAAAACGTTATTGCTAAAACTATGAACAATACCAACTGATAAATTTTTGTTGCTAATACTCTAAACAATATCGACTGATAAATTTTTGTTGCTAATACTCTAAACAATACCGACAGATAAATTTTTTGTTGTTAATACTATAAACAATACTGACAGATAAAGTTTTGTCGCTAAAACTAAAAGCAATACCGACAGATAAATGTTTGTTGCTAAAACTATAACCAATAGCGACAGATATTACTCTTTTTGTGGGTCAAACAGTTTTTGCCTTCAAATAACTTTATCTGTCGGTAATATCCTCTTTTTAGCGACAAATAAGGTTTCTGATCCTAAGGATCTGTCGGTACTGCCCTCTTTTTTTGTAGTGCCCGTACCTCACGTGTAATGGGTGGAGTTTTCCATTCAATGATTGCTGAAATTTTGAATGGGTCAACTTTGACTCCTTCAGCGGAAATCACGTGACCGAGAAAAGTGACCTCACTCAGCCAAAATTCACATTTAGAAAGTTTGGCATAAAGCTTATGCTCTCGCAGAATACTCAACACGATGCGTAAATGCTCAGCATGATCCTCTGGTGTTTATGAGTACACCAAGATATCGTCGATGGAGACCACAACAAATTGATCCAGATACTTTCTAAAGACTCTATTCATGAGATCCATGAATACAGCTGGTGCATTCGTTAAGCCAAAGGGCATAATGGTAAATTCATAATGTCCATAATGTGTACGAAATGCTGTCTTTGGAATGTCTTCTGGCTTCATAGGAATCTGGTGGTAACCTGATCTGAGATCGACCTTTGAGAAAACAGTCGCACCTCGTAATTGATCAAACAGATCATCAATACGGGGTAACGGATAACGGTTCTTGATCGTCACTTTGTTCAGCTAACGATAGTCAATGCATAATCTCATTGATCCATCTTTCTTACGGACGAAAAGGACAGGTGCTCCCTACGAGGAAAGACTAGGACGGATGAAGCCTTTATCTAATAACTCCTGCAATTGAGCTTTCAATTCCTTCATTTCTGCAGGTGCCATTCGATAAGGTGATGCTGAGATGGATCCGGTACCAGGTACAAGATCAATAGAGAATTCTACTTCTCTTGGAGGAGGTAGACAATGAAGTTCTTCAGGAAATACATCAGGAAAAAGTCACAAACCACAGATATGTCCTTATGGTTAGGTGTTTCCTTTTGTATATCCTTAATAGTGCACAAGAATGCTTTACATTTCCTGTGAATGAGCCGTTTTGCTTGCATATAAGAGATGAATTCCGGGGCTTTCGGCAGAAGTTCTCCCCGAATGATCACTTCGTTACCATCATCAGTACGAAGTTTCACCACTCGTTCCTTGCACTCGACAATAGCCTGGTGTTTTGTCAACCAGTCCATGCCAAGTATAACGTCAAACTCCTTGTGAGGGAGTTCAATGAGATCGGCTAAGAATACCTTTCCTTGAGCCGTCAACAAACATTGATTATAGACATGCTGAAGACGTAGACTATTTCCTAGTGGGTTTGACACAACTACTGGATGCTCGAGAGTTTCCTTAATGATGTCAAACTTAACAGGCATGGGTATACATATGTACGATAAGGTAGATCCAGGGTCAATTAATGCAGATACAGTGATTTCAAATAAAGTGAATATACCCATGATAACATCATTAGCCTGCGGATCTTTACGCCCTTGCATGGCATACGTACAAGCTAGTGCTCGTTCTTGCTGTTGACTGGATGCTGGTCTTTTCGGCTGGTTAGAAGTAGCCGTGGAATGATGACTCTGGGTAAGCTCGGCCCGTCGGACAGTTGAAACACCCGGCGTGCCTGGTGCTGTGGAGAAAACCTTGCCTGGGTTCGTCGGGCAATCCTTCCGAAAGTGACCTGCCTGACGAAAGTGACCTGCCTGACCACACCAGAGGCAAAGACCCTGTGTGAGCCAACACTCACCAGCATGCCTGCGGCCACAGTCTGAGCATCCAGGTTTACGGTATGTCGCTTTCTCCTTCCCACTCTTACTAGTCACGGTCACAGACGTAGAGGGAGTAGATTTCACTCGCTTATCATGACGAGAAATGCTCGGTGCGGACAAGGTCCTCTTGTTAACATGCCCAATCTTCGGGCCTGATTGGACGGCCTGACTTTCTTCCAGCAAAGCTTGATCGTACGCAGCCTTCTTGATGAGCTCCTCGTTCAGTTCAAGAGCCTTCTTGTAAACATCATTGATGTCGGCTCGGGGAACTATTATGAGTGATGATGAGAGGTCGGGTCTTATATCCTTGATGAACTTCTTGCAGCGTTTCTCCTTGGTGTTGACTAAGTCTTTACCAAACTCAGACAACCCGTCAAACTGCTGACGGTACTCGGGGAGAGTCAGCTTCCCCTGGGTGAATTTGGAGAATTCCTCATATTTTTTCTCGATGTAGTGATCGGGCACATACTCTTCTCTGAAGAGTGGATCGAAGGTATCCCATGGCACAGGCACAGGAATGTTGGCGCTTACTCACTTCCACCAATCATAGGCGGCATCCTGTAGTAAGGATATGGCGTGCTATCCCCAATCTTCGTGAGGTAACTTCAAGTTCTCCAGTACCCTCACAGTGCGTTCTTTCCAATGCTTGGCTAATAGGGGATTCGCTATCTGATCGCCACAAAATTTCTGCGCCTCATTCCTCTTGAGTTTCTCAATCGATATGATGGGTACAGGAGGTGGTGGAGGAGGCACATGTGCTCCAGCCATCTTCTGGAAGAACTGAAACATGTTAGCAACCATTTGTGGTTGGAACATCGGAATGGCCATATTCGGGTTCTGACCCGTGAACTGCTCCGGAACATGCTGAGGTTCCGGCTGAGGCTGTTGTTGTTGGGGTACGTAGCTGGAAGCTTCAGTGTCCACCGTATGCACACTAACGTGCTCAGGCTCCGCATGAGGGTTTGCCTGACCGTGAGTCGAGTCTTGACTCATTCTATATAATTAATTGGAAATATAATTAGTCATAAGTAAACTAATTGTTTTACCTTCCCGGGTAGAGATGTGGAGAGATGCGGACTTGTGTTTGAAACTCCTTTGATTTGATTTCCAAAATCATTTTTTTTAATCCAAATGCTCCGATACCAAAATGTAACACCCCAACTCGAATAACCCGATTACCTAGGTTACTTGAGTCGGAGTAGTTACCATGATGGTAATAACAGATGATAATTTGAGGAATAATTTAAAACCAATTAAACTTTAATACAAATGATAAATGCAATGATAAATTCGGAGTGCTGTCTGAAAACAGTGCGGAAGCTAAGTTGATAAAACATAAACAAGTTTTGTTACATTTTCTGGGAACTCGCCCGAAAAGGTATTTTATTTAAATAAAGCATCATAATTGCGGTCCACCAGTCCGTACATCTCGTCACTCTCATTGACCTCTGGGATGGGCTCCATGATCAGTATGGTTACCTGCGTGTAGCAAGTAAAACAAACTATACGCTCAGCGTCAGTTGAGGAATACGCTAGTACAGCAATTCCAAGTTGAATAGCAAGTAGACATATAATTATTCATGATATAGCATAGTATAGCATGTATGTTCAAGATGATGATGAGAATACATAATTGATGCCATACATAAACATGATGATTTTACTTGATGATGATTTCATGCTGTATGATTCTAACCCACAAGGACAACCCTTGCACTATGAGATTCGCCCATTTGGTACGACGAACTCATGCCACCTAAAATTGAGGCCCGTTATCCGTTACAATGTTTCGGGGAGACCCGAACCGGGTGATTATATTCTTCCAGAAAAAGCGCTGGCATTGCTTGGTTGTAATGGTTGCATATGCCTCGGCCTCTACCCATTTTGTGTAGTAGTCGATAGAGACCATGACATATTTCTTTCTCCCTTGAGCTTGAGGGAAGGCTCCAATGATATCCATCCCAAACCTTGCGAATGGAATAACATTGGAAACTGGATTGTAGTATGTCGCAGGCCTTCCTGGAAATTTGTAGAACACCTGGCAAGTTTTGCACCTTTGCACATACTTCTCACAATCTTGGTTCATTGTAGGCCAGAAGTAACCTAGCAGGATAATCCTTTGTGCGAGTGTCCTGGACATTTGGTGGGCTGCACAGACACCCTCGTGAACCTCTACGATCACTCTTTCCGCCTCTTCCCTTGTTAAGAACCTCAACAATGGACCACCAAATGCTCTTTTGTATAACCTTCCATCAAGCATTTGGAATCTGGGAGCTCTCAACTTTACTTTTCTTACCTTGTCCTCATTCTCAGGGAATTGCTCGGTCATGTAATACTTGACCAAGTCATCCATCCAAATATCATCTGGCTCCACCAGGCCTGGATTTGGTTGTCCATCCTCCTCTATCAGGCTAACAGAAAGCCCTTCAATACTAGCCTTTTCCAGCGTCTCAATCCTTGCCAACTTCGACACATGTTCCGGGGCTGCTTGCGTCAATTTTGATAGCAAGTCAGCGTCGGTGTTCTCGCCCCTAGGGATTTGCTCCACCACATACTCAGTCAGGCCCTTCAATAGTGCCCTTGCCAAGTCTCTGTACTTCTGCATCTTCTCTCCTTTGGCCTCCATGTTGCCATTGATGTGGCCTACCACCAAGCTTGAATCGGACTTGATCCTGAGGCATGTGATTTGCAGGGTTTTGGCCAATCTCAGACCCCCTATCAACGCCTCATATTCAGCTTCATTGTTTGTAAGCTTGAAATTAAAGATCAAGGCATGATACACCTTGAACCCTTCTGGAGTTGTGAATACTACACCTCCCCCGTAACCTTTCGGTCCAGAGGCTCCATCTACTGACATGGACCACCAAGGCTCTGTGATAGCCCTGGCTGGTTCTTCTTCTTGGTGACCCGTCATCTCCACAAGAAAATCAGCCACAGCTTGGCCTTTTATCGCCGTCCTCGGGCGATATTCGATGTTGAATTGGGTCAACATCATGGCCCATTTGATCATTCTTCCTGATGAAGTGGAGTCCCTCATGACCGTGCCCAATGGCAGGTCGGTCAACACGACGATGGGGTGGGCCTTGAAGTAGGACGTGAGTTTCTTTGCTGTTTTGAAAAGTGCATACCCTGCCTTCTCCGTAGGAGTGTACCTACTTTCCGCCCCATTTAAGGCCTTGCTTACATAATAGATGGGCCTTTGGACCCCATCATCCCTCATCAAGACCGAGCTAATGGCCATCTGAGTAACCCCTAAGTAGAGGTAGAGGGTCTCCTTTGTTTCCGGTTTGGACAAGACAATGTCCGAAGTTAGATACGTCTTTAGCTCTTCGAATGCCCTGGCACATTCATCATCCCACTAGAAGGGATTGGCTTTTTTTAAAACCTTAAAGAAAGGCAAAGCCTTCTCTGCTGACTTGGACAAGAACCGGTTTAAGGCCGCCAAGCGCCTTGTTAACCCCTGGACATCCCTTACTGATGTTGGGGGTTGCATCTCCACAATGGCCTTGATCTTCTCAGGATTTGGCTCAATCCCCCTCTTCGTCACCATGAAGCCCAAGAACTTCCCCGTCCTCACAGCAAAAACACATTTCTTTGGATTAAGTCTAAGATCATGCATAGCCATAATCTCAAAACATTTTTCCAGGTCTTGAGCATGTGTGCTGGCTGCTCTGCTCTTCACCAGCATATCATCGACATAGGCCTCCATGGTCCGTCCAAGCAAAGGCCTGAACAATTTATTGACCATCCTCTGGTAAGTTGACCCTGAGTTTTTCAACCCAAAGGCCATCACCCTGTAACAATATGTCCCGTCTGGGTGAGGAAGGCCGTCTTCTCCTCATCATCTTCCGCCATGAAGATTTGGTGATACCCCTTGAAGGCATCCATGAAACTGAGCAACTCACACCCGGCAGTTTCGTCCACCATTTGGTCCGGGCTGGGGAGAGGGTAAGAGTCCATCGGGCATGCCTTGTTGAGGTCTGTGTAGTCCACGCACATCCTCTAGGTATCACCCTTCGGAGCCAGGACTACATTGGCCAGCCATTCAGGGTAGTTTACTTCCCTGATATGACCTACCTCAAGTAGATCCTTGACCTCCTTCTTCACAAACTCCCTCCTTTCACTTGCCAAGAATCTCATCTTTTGTCTTACAGGCCTAGACCCCTCAAGAACAGAGACACGATGGCGAATGACTGACCGGTCAATTCCGGGCATATCAGCAACACTCCAGGCAAACAATGATTTATACCTGGTCAACACCTGGACAATCTCAGTCCTTAGCTCCTCCTGAAGATCAGCCCCATCCAATTTTGACCTTCCTTTCAGGATTGGAGGCATCAATCTGGATCTCCTCCGTGTTTGCATCCGGCTCAATCCTAGCCTTCTCCTCACCCTTGTCTACCTGCTGGGAGACCAATTCAATTTGTTCGAATTGGCGGGTCATTTTCTTGACTGCTTCCAAGTAGCAGGACCGAGCATTCTTTTGATCACCCCTTTCCTCCCCGATTCCATTGGGAGTGTAAAACTTCATGCATGAGTGTGCCATGGAAATAATGGCCCTAACCTGGTTGATTCCAGGCCTACCCAGAATGGCATTATGCACACATTTGATGTCGACCACAACAAATCTCATTTGTTTGGTCACTGTCTTGTTACCTGACCCCAAGGTAACCGATAAGGTTATCTGACCTTCTGCTTCTATGCTAGCCCCGGGGAAGCCTGATAATGGAGTTTGTAGCGGCCTTAGCATGGACCTGTCAAGCTTCAATTTCTTGAAGGCATCCAAGTATAAAACATTGACACTGCTTCCGGTGTCAACCAGGACCCTGGCCACATCAGCCCCATTGATGTCCATTGTAATGACCAAAGGGTCATTATGATCTCCCCCCGTCCTGGGCAGATCCCTATCAGTGAAAGTGATAGGTTCCCTCCTTGCCTGCTTTCCTTGTGATTCCAAGGAAACCACCGCTACGTGCAAGCTCCTGGCCCAGTTCTTCCGCTGGGAGGCAGTGTCCCCGCCTTCTGGGCCACCGACAATCATCTCAATGAATTCTTTATCCGGATTGTTGTTATCCTTCCCAGATTTTCTCCTTCCCTGTCTTTTCCCTGAGGACGGGTCCAGGTGTTCGCTTTCGGGTCCTTCTTATTCCCCGTCGCGTAACCTTCCTCAAGCTCTCCCTTCAAGGCCATCTCCTTGAGCACAACCTTGACATTTCGACAATCCGTCGTATTGTGGGAGTCAGATTGGTGGTAGGTACACCACTTTTCCGTCCATGGCCTCTTGGGTTGCTCTCCCTTCTTATCATCCCTTATTTGATGGACAGATCCGTCATACGTGGCTTTTGGCTTGGACCCTCCCGTCTGGTCATCCTTCTTCGGTTTGTCGGATTTCACCTTTGTATAGCCCTCCTCCAATTCTCGCTTGCTCTTATTCAGCACTTCCGCCTCGGCATACTCCCATGCCGTATTGTAGGCTTCCTGATAAGAGGAGGGTGGCCTCCTACAGAATTCAGTGTAGAGGTCACCTGACCGGAAGACATTCATCAACAAAGACATGGCCATCTTATCGTCCATCTCTTCTACCTTGTCAACCTCGTCCCTCCAGCGGGTTAAGAATTGAGTCAAGGACTCCTTCTCCCTCTGCCCTACCGTGTTAAGGTAGGTGAACTTCTTTCTCTTAATGCAGTTGTCCTAGTACTTCTTGCGGAAAACTTCGGCAAGTTTCTCAAAGGACCCAATCCTGCCATGGGGAAGGCCGTTAAATCATTCCACTGGCCTCCCTCTCAAGGATGAGAAGAAGAGCAAGCACTCCTCAGCATCAGTGCACCCGGCCATCTGTGCTGCGTTGTGGAAGGTATCAAGGTGGACATTTGGATCCTCTTTTCTAGTGAACTTCTCCACGTCTAGCTTGATCTTCCGCCTCAGTTTTTGTGCATGTACCCTGGCTGAAAAGGGAGATTTGGCCAAGGTATACTTCTTTGCTCCCGCCTTCTCTTCCACTTTTTCCTCCAGAGCACGTAACTTTCTTGCTACGCTCCCTATCTTGTCCAGGTCATCCTCATCGTATGAGAGCCTGGTATACGCTGATGCCCTGGGCTGGCTTTCAGCTTCCTCCTCGTCTAGGTGAATCGTCTCAGATTCCCTAGAACGACGAGATTGGGCGGGACGACTCCCGCCAAGTCTTTCCATTGCGCTAGTCCGGCCCATCTCAGGACCAAGACGTAGCTTGGTAGACTTGCGGGGTCCATCATCTTTGTCCCCTAGGCGTTTGAACGCCGAATCTTGGGTCTTGCTGGATTTGGCTATAGCCTTACCCTTCCTTCTACGGGCTGCCTCTTGCTCCGCCTCATCGATTTCATGTACATTTGAGGGCGCTGCCTCATTCATGATCCCTGTCAAATTCACCGGGCGCACAAGGACCATCCTTGGAACGAATGTTGATGGGGTCGACATCGGGGGTGCCATGGGAGTCATGGTTGGCGGCATATATGCCAGGGAAGGCAAATGGCATGATGCCCCTGTCTGTTGCATCATGGCCATCACCTGTTGATAGCCCTGTAGAGCCTGAGCATTTGCCGGGTGATACGTTACAAATTGTCACATTTTATTTGGTCATACTTTAGTTCTTTATTATATTTTTAATGCATTTTATGTTAAAATAAATTACATAATGAAATATTTAGCTTTTTAGGCTACTTGTTATATTTTTACACTAAAATCATAAGTTGGGTAAAGTTTTTATTATATTTCGTGTTGAAATTAATTTCTCTTATATGTATTTTTAGATATACTTTTTGGAATAAAAAAAACATGTTAAATTCAAGGGATGGAGAATTGGGCCAAGCTTTAATGGATTGAAGATTTAAAGTCCAAGTGCAAGTCAAGATCCAATTGCTATACAAATCCTATCTCAATTCTCAACCCAACAAAATGAAAACCTAAAGAAACAAAAAAAAAAGGGATATAAAAGGAGGAGGAGGAACGAACAAAAAGAAAAATATTAGTCTTCAATTCTATCTCAATTCTCAATTCCTCTTTTCTTCTCAATTCTCAATTCCTCTTTTCTTCTCTTTAATATGTCAAACTTTAATTTTTATTGTGATGATTTTTGCACTATGATAGCTTAAAACTCCATAGCTAGGGCAAGGATGAAACTTATATATTCAATTTGATTTTTACTCATGATTTATTTTTCCATATTGATCTTAAATATTTATTGTCTATTTTTCCAATTGATTATTAGGGTTAATTTTTAGATGAGTTCAATCATGTTTTTCTCATGCTTTGAGTAATCCTGATAATTGTTTGACAAGTTCAAAGAGCAGATATTAGTTGTGATTTCTTGATGAGATACAATTAATGATTTGAATTTCTCTTGAAACTTTGAAAAATAGCAAACTATAGAAATTGTTTTTTTAGAGCTTAATTGATATATCCTCCATGATAACGGGACTTGGTTGCGAGATTATCATGCGTATTAAGTTTGGAAAAAATAATGATTGAGTAAAAATTACATTTGAATATATAAATGGATTCCAAGTCCTAGTTCTTTCTCATATTTGAAAACTTATTTTTAATTTCTTAGTTTTTAGTAGTTAATACAATCTTTAGTTTTTGTTTAATTATTTAAGATTTCTTTAAAATTATTCATTTTCACATTTAGTTTTTCTTAAAGTATTAAATTATGTCCAATTAGATTAGAAATATTCAATTGAATCTAAAATAAAATTCTTCACATAATCAAGTCCCTGTGGGATCGACCTCGTATTTGCGTTGCTATACTTTCGTACGGTTCGTGCACTTGCGAGTAAATAAAATATCACAACAAGTTTTTGGCGCCGTTGCCGGGGACTTGAAAAGATTTGAGTTCTAGATTGTAGTTGAGTTTTTCTTCTACTAGTTGTTTTAAAAAAAACTTTAAAAAAAAATAAAAAAATCAAAAAATATAAAAATTAAAAAAAAGAACGAAAAAGTGAAAAAAAAATTTCCTAACCTTACTTTTAAAGTTTATGTTGTTGCATGAGAGTTTGGCTTCGTGATCACAAAAATCGTCTTATTAGCGTGGATATAGAAGATTCTAAAATGGCAGAAGAAGAAGTTGAAGTTGAGGCCAAGCCACCTTCGTGCATTGTTTTGCCTGCTACCACTGCAACACATTTTGAGCTTAAACCTCAGGTAATCAATCTTTTACCTAATTTTCATGGCTTAAGTAACGAGGATCCATATTTGCATGTTAAAGATTTTTTAGAAATTTGTGCTACTTTCAAATTTCAAAATTTTTCTGAAGAATCTGTACGCTTGCGATTGTTTCCTTTTTCTTTAAAAGACAAGGCAAAAGTTTGGCTTAATTCGTTACCTCCTCAATCTATTACAACATGGGACGCTTTGGTTAAAAAATTCCTTGCTAAGTTTTTCCCTATGTCAAGAACTAATTCCTTAAGAAGACAAATAACTGATTTTTATCAAGATGAAAATGAGAAATTTTATGAGACTTGGGAAAGATTTAAAGATTTGTTGTTAAAGTGTCCTCATCATGGTTTTGAGAATTGGAGGTTGGTGCAATATTTTTATAATGGTTTAACTCAATCTAATAGAAATATGGTAGAATCAATGAATGGTGGAGGATTTTTAAATTTAAGTGAAGATGATGCCTTTAATTTCTTTGAAACACTTTCAGAAAGTTCTCAACAATGGGACTTTTCTAATCCTAGGGAAAAGCCAACTCAAAATAATAAAAAGAGTGGTTTATATGAAGTGAGTAATAATGTGGATATAATGGCTAGATTAGATTATCTCGCACAAGAAGTCAAGGCTTTAGCGACAAATAAGGCAATTGGCACTTCTAAAAATATTATATCTGATATTTGTGATGTCTGCTCGAGTACAATGCATGATGCTTCTATATGTCCTCATATGACTTCTTACTCTGATAATTCTTTTGAACATGCTAATGTGTTGAATGCTTTTGGTAAGCCTGTCTCTAATCAATTTTGAGATACTTATAATCCTAATTGGCGTAATCATCCTAATTTTCCTTGGAGAAATCAATCACCTACCAATAATGCATTTTCACATATGCCAAATTCTAATCAATTTAGACCCACCAATTTTAATCAGACATATCCTTTAGTTCCACCACAAATAGTGGGTCCACCTAAGCCACAATCCTCAACTTTAGAGGATACTGTTAAAATGTTTATGCAATCTACAACTCAAGTTATGCAATCTACGAGTCAGGCACTTCATGAAATTAAAAATGTCACCCACCTAAATACTACCGCCATCTCTAAGTTAGAAACTCAAATGGGTCAGTTAGCTACTCATATAGGAGAAAGAGAAAAAGGTAAATTTCCTAGTCAGCCCATTCCTAATCCTAAGGGTCAGTATGTTATTAGTGAGGAGCCTAGTTCTAGTTCTAAGCAAGAAAATGTGCAATCTGTCATCTCTCTTAGGTCCGGTAAGCAAGTTAATAACAATGTGAAGGAACTTGAAAGTGAGAATGAAGATAAGAAGAGAACTAAGAAATCCATAGATGATGAAAACAAAAAGTCTGAAGAACCTAAAAAGTCGAATCCTAAGAGTACTGAAATTGAGAATGAGGTAACTGAGCTAAACCTAGATTCGAATACACCAAATCTGGAGGTGGAAAAGATAAATCAATTGTCATATGCAGAAGTAGTGGTTGGGAAAGAAAAACTGGAATATGAACTAAAGTACATTCAAGCTGATGAAGTTAATGGTCAGTATATTGCAAAATTTACAAATGATGATGTGATCGAAGATCTGGGAATGTGGGATCAGGCAATTGTGCTCTGTGTCCTAGGGGCTAACCCACCAGTGGAGGTTATTGATGGATTTGTTCGCAGAATCTGGAGAGAATATAGCCTTGAGGAGGTGTTTTTCTTGAAGGAAGGTCAGTATATTGTAAATTTCAAGAAAATGGAGGAAAGGGATGAAGTGCTGAAACGTAGGTTTTATTATTTTGACAATAAACCTGTCTTCGTGAAGGCATGGAGACCTGGACTTCAGGTGGATATAAATGAAATAAAGGATATCCCAATATGGATTCAATTTCCAAACCTAAATATGAAATATTGGAGCTTAACAGGGCTGAGCAAGCTAGGGAGTGTGATTGGTAAACCAGTGAAAAGGGACAGAGCTACAGCTTCAAGGACTAAATGGGAGTTTGCCAGGATTCAGGTGGAGGTGCAGATACACCAGGAATTCCCTGAAATGATCCATTTCTCAGATGAAGAAGGAACAGTCATATCACAGAGGGTAACATATGAATGGAAACCATCCATATGTGCAAAGTGCAGCAGAATGGGACATGTTAGTGACGTTTGCAGGAAAAAACAGGAGGTCAAACCAGGAAGACCTGCAACAAAAAAGGTCTGGAGACCTAAACCTAAACAAGAAAATGAGAAGGAACAAGAGGAAGTAGACAAAGAGAAAAATAATGAAGAGAAAGAGGAAATGCAAAGTTTAGAGGAAGAAGGAGAATTTGAGAATGTGAGTAAAAGAAAGAGTACAAGAAGAGTACTGCTTGAAGAATTACAAAAGGGAGGAGGGTGGAGAGATGCACCTTATACTGGACACTACCCCTTCCTCACATGATACTCAGCTGGAACATCAGAGGGTTAAATAACCCTAACAAACAGTGGGATATAAAAAATGTATTAAATAAATATAGAATTAGTATTGTGGGGATTCTTGAAACCAAGATAAAGAAAGAGGAGGAGGGTATCCTAAATAAGATGTTCACAGATTGGGGGGCGTTTACTAATGCTGATTATCACCCCCTAGGAAGAATTTGGGTGGCATGGAATAAAAGGAAAGTATATGTCCAGATAGTGGATGCTACTGCGCAATGTGTCCATTGTAAAGTTAGGGACATGGATAATAATGAATACTATTGGATTACTTTTGTTTATGGTTTTAATGACCAATTGAGCAGGAAGCCATTGTGGGATAGCATCAGGAAGTATGCTCATAATATGGTTGAACCTTGGTGTTGCATTGGGGATTTTAATGCAGTGCTGGAAGCAAAGGATAGGGAAGGAGGGAATCCTGTCACAGATGATGAAATGAAAGAGTTTAAAGAGTGTGTGTTAGAGAGTGGTCTGGAAGAAATGGCTTGGGTAGGTCCCTATTATACCTGGTCAAATAAACAAAAGCCTGACAAAAGGATATGGTCAAAGCTTGATAGAGCATTGTCAAATGTTATTTAGATGAGTTAATTTGCATCCAAAACTAAAGTACTGAATGAAGGGGTATCAGATCACTCCCCTTTACTGGTAATTAGTGTGGATCACTCACAGAATAATACCCCCTTCAGATTCTGCAACATGTGGTTGGATGATCCAGAAATGACACAAATAATGTTGAGAGTTTGGAGAACAGAGGGAAACAACAGGAATATGTATCAGCTTGTTCAGAACCTGAAAAACCTGAAGGGTCCCCTTAAGAAACTGCACAAAGATAAATATAAAGATATTCATAAACAAATTGATGAAGCCAGAGAGATGTTACTGCAAGTACAACAAGAGATTAAACAGAAGCAGGTAACAGAGGAATTATTTGCAAAGGAGAGGGAGCTGAATGAAAAGCTGAATAAAACAATTAAGGCTTCCAATACTATGAAGTGCCAACAGAGTAAATTGGAGTGGATCACTGAAGGAGATAAGGGATCCAGAATGTTTTATGCCTGGCTTAAGAAAAGGAAAGTCCATAACCACATTTTGGCAATCCAAACAGTGACTGGTGACATGGTTGAAGGGACAGATGATATTGCTAAGGTCTTTGTGGAGAGTTATACAAAACTACTCGGAACTAAGGATGACATAAAAGGTATTGATGATGCAATTGTAAGAAAGGGCAAAGTCTTGAACATCACACAACAGATGGGATTACTAAAACCATTTACTGCTGAACAAGTTAGAGAGGTAATGTTTTCAATCCCAAACACCAAAAGCCCGGGACCTGATGGTTTTGGAAGTGGATTTTTCAAGGGTCAATGGAAAGTGGTTGGGAACCTAATAACCAGAGCTGTATTGGATTTCTTCAAGGAAGGGAAAACATTAACACAAGTTAATGCTACTGTCATCACACTTATTCCCAAAGTTGCAGATCCTAGAAGCCCAATGGATTACAGACCAATCTCCTGCTGTAATACAATATATAAAGTGATTTCTAAACTGCTTTG